TTTTTTATATTCTTGTAAACAAGAGTGGGCTTTCTCTTACCTTGTTACTTCTCAAAGATGTACTCAATTTAGAATGTTTCTTTCCTGTAGATTTAGAATGTTCTTAGTTCATTATATTTCTTCCTTACTTTGTATTTATGCACAGGAAGCTCCTACTGTTAAATACTCAGTGACTTCAGGAGAATCCAGATGCTCCTGTGGCTTCTAACAACTCAGTCTATATTTATTGAATTCTTTAAAAACATTCATTTTGTGATAGTAGTTGGCATACAATATTATATTAGTTTCAGGGGCACAACATCATGATTAGACATTTATATACTATACTAGAGGCCCAATGCACGAAATTTGTGCAAGGGTAGGCCTGCGCAATCCCGCCTGCCAGGGCCCTCACAGCCCCTGCTGCCTCAAGGCCCTGCCCCCCCCACCTGCACCTTGGTCTGGTGCTGCCCGTCCACCACCACACACCCCCGATTCCCTGGTTCCCTGGAGCGCCCCCCCACCATTGATTGCCCCCTGGCCAGTGGCCTGGGCATCCCTCTGCGGGGCAATCAATCGCAGAGCCCCCTACCCCATCGATTGCTCCTCAGAGGGTGGTCTGGGCTTCCCTCTTTGGAGTGATAGCGGAGCCTCCTGATTGATTGCCACTTGCCGGTGGCCTGTGCCTCCCTTTGCAGGGTGATCATGGGGCAATGGCGGGCCCCCCGACCAATCACATTGCACCCACCTCGCTGGGCTGGTGCAGTGCGTGTCATAGTATGGTCTTCCAGAAGGTCGTCTGAACGGTCGTTCTGCTGTTCGGTTGTTTGGTCAATTTGCATATTATGCTTTTATTATTATAAATGAAGTGATCACCAAGATATGTGGAGTACCCAACTGGCTCTAGAAATAGTTATTACAATATTACTGACTATCCCCTATCCTGTATTTTAAATCTTTGTGACTATTTTTTTAAATTTATCTTTATTGTTGAAAGTATTACAGATGTCCCATTCCCTCCCTCCCCTCCCCCCCAGTGACCCTTCCATCCCAACTGCTCCCCCATCCCTGCCAGGCCTTCACCACCCTATTGTCTGTGTCCATGGGTTATGCATATACGCATATAAATTAGTTGGTTTATCTCTTCCCGACCCCCCTTCCCACTTCACTCTGAGATTTGTCAGTCTGTTCCATGCTTCTGTGTCTCTGTATCTATTTTGTTCATCAGTTTCTGTGATTACCTTTTACAACTGGCAATCTATGCTTAATCCCTTATCCAATTCTTCACAAACTGACATTTCTGGAATGATTCACTCATAACTGGGAAACTGTGTTGACATTATGGAGGGGAAATGTCTAACTAATGTGAGGAACAGTTCTTCTTTGAAAGTGAAGGATTGCCCATCAGTACTTAGACAAGGACCCAGAAGATAAAGCACTGTACATACAACTTTAAAAAAAATCATCCCTAAAAAGTCAAAAGAATACCTTGAACTTTGAAAGTAGAGTCCATTATGCATTGTGTGATTTTATGCTAAAATTTTGAGTTATACTGAAGGCCTGGGGAGAGGACAGGAGTGGAGAGGAAGAGGGGGTCAATGGGGAAAAATAGGGGAACATTAATAACGATAAATTAAAAAAATTTTTTTGAGTGATATATTTGGAAGAAAAACCAGAAATCATTTGGTCCATGACTCTCACTTTGCACATGAAGTACCTGCCATGCGGAGAAGGGCAGTGGCTTTCTTGCCACCTCCAGCTTGTTAGTGGCAGAACAAGGACTGTCCCACTATCTTCCAGCCTAGAGTAATGCCTTCACTGTCATATAAAAAGCAAAAAGTAATATATAAATACATATACATAATATATAATTAGACATATATTTTATTGTGTAAGATTTCAGGACTAAATAGTTTAGAAGATGTAACAGTTAGATGTCTGTATACAGTTATAGTAAGTTTGGACTTAAGGAAAGAAAATAAGAAGCCATCTGTGCAAAAAAAAAGAGCAGATGTAATAGTAAGAATTACTATTATCTATATATATAAAAGGCTAAGTGTCCATCTGACTGGTAGCTATGACGTGCACTGACCACCAAGGGGCAGATGCTCAACACAGGAGCTGCCATGATGCACACTGGCCATTTAAAAATAAACGGCACCATGGACCTGGTGCCGACAAACCAACACTTGGCTTCCCCCAAGTGGAACACAGGCCCCGCCACCACCCTAGAGCGACACCCCAACAAATCGCAGTCAACACTGCCAAGATCTCATGGCACAAAATGCGGCCCACAGCCTGGCCCATCCAGGAAACAGTAACTGTGGGTGCCAGGTAATGACATCACATAGCAACGCCTGGCTTCCTCTCCCTAGTAACTTTGTCTTCTTGGAGTTCCTTCAGCCCAGGAACCTGGCTTGCTGTATAGCCAGGTGCAAACATTTTACACTTTAACCAAATGTTTTTGAAGCGTTTTCACATGCCTCATCTCATTTGATCCTCACAGAAGTCCTGGAGTAGGTAGATAGGAGACTTGGTAGAATCCTATTTTCTTTTCATGAGGCGGAAAACGGAGATTTAGAAAGTTTAGAAACTTGACCCAACTGAAAAGAAGAAATGATGAAACTTGAAAATGATTTAAGTTTTTCTCACTGTGCAGAATATAGTAAAACACTGCTACAGTTAAATATTTTGCCCTTTGTTCTCCCTGTGTGATCTACAATAATAATATACTTTGTGTTGATATTTACTGCTGTGTTGCTGACAATTGCCTGAAAGAGAAGTGGGGGTACTTCACTGGGCTGGAAAAACCTTAGCTAAATTAGAAAGCAGGTCTAATTAAGCAAGTGTATTCTATATATATAAAAGGCTAAGTTAACTCATGCATGCACGATACATATACTAGTAAAGCTCTCACTGGTGCCAATCACACGCGTGTGTTTTGATCTGTCATTGTTGATCGTTAATTTGGTTAACACTTCTATTATAGAGAAAGAGCAAATAGAGAAATATTAAAATATTTCTTCTAATTAATTTCCTTTCAATATGCACGAATCCATGCACTGGGACACTAGTAAGTAATAAATAAAATAAAGTTATAAAGGAGTAGACTTATTAGTGTAATATAGGATAGGAGAAAGAAGAATAAAATATTAATCTGTGTAGGCACATCAAGGCAAAGTACAGAAGTGGAAGTAGAGAATATGAGTATTTTCATAATTAACCAAGGCAAATATAATATCAATCCCCTTTGTTATGACATAGGAAGGGGAAGCGAAAAATATTCCAGAAAATGTATGCACCAAGAGAGATCCCGCCATAGGTTGAGACATATGTTCACGTGATGATCTTAATATAATCTTGGGTACTATCACCTTCAAAAAGCAATGGGGTATCAGAATGTACTGCAAAAAGAAATGGTCATAAAAGAGGCTTGCTAATCTTGGGAATATTTTTGTCCTCCATGGATGGAAACTGTGCATTTCCATCGATCCATAGGTCTCCAAAGTCTCTTCCACCTTTTATGTGTCATTGATCTGAAGAAAATGGGAGTGAATGGAGGTATTCAGGCAGATGAATTATGGGACAGTGCAGGGCAAGTACACAATTTTATTACCTGCTGAAGGCAGTGAGCTGTCACTCCAGGTTGAGGAAGGAACCCTCTGGGATGATGGGCCTAGCACACAGAACTAATAGAGTAGGTAGTAGGATAAGAAAGAAACTCTTTTCAAACTAGCCCCATTGTGATTTCAGCAGGGCAGGTGGAAGGTATCCCTCTCTGGAGAAGCACCAGGTGTGTTAGAAGATGCTTTCCATGTGAGGTGATGCACATGTAGGAGGTGAGACATATCTGGAGTGTTTATGTTAACTCTGAGGTCAGATAAGTCAGGAAGGAGGCTCTGAGAAGAGAGTGTAGGATCAACTTGGAGGACTGGATATCTGTGGAGTGAGAAGATGTCAAATCCGATGGGGCAATGAGAGGCAACAACAAAGAAGGAGAGAGGACCAGACTTACTCTGACCATCCAGCCTTCTAAAACTGCTCCAAACAAGTCAGCCCATGATGGGGAGCTCAGTGTACTAACATTGGGCTCAGCTTACAAAACAAAGAAGTGGAGGGCTGGTCTAAATCAGAATAGAACATGCTCCAACTGACATTTTTTTGTTGTCTGTCATTTCCCAAGATCCACTAAGTTCTAGAAAACACACTGTAGGTTTTGGAATCTCAGTTATTCCTGACTGGCTGATGGGCATCCAAAGGTCAGAGAAGATACAGATGCTGAGAGAGACAGAACTCTGAACATCAAGCCATTGAGAGGAAACTTCTTAGGTAAAGTCAGAGCCTAAAAATATTTACAAGAGTAAAAACATGTCTGTATTTAATAATAATAATAATAAGTCATTGCCAGGCTGTGCAGCAAAGGAAAACTTGATGGCACCTGGAATTTACAGATTATTTCTATAATCTGCTGGCACATAAACTTTACGGAGCCAATTGACCCTCATGGGTAACAATATTTAAATTGAAAGTGCATACATCTAGAAGTTATAGACAGCTATTTCTCTTTGAATGAGTTTTGATCCTTTGGTAAATACAGATATAATAGCCTCATAACTTTGGAAGATATCCTAAGACAACGTTTGTTCTTGAGTACTATTGCATTGGTGGCAACAGCATATAAAAAGCATAATAATGTCAGTGGATGATTCTCTCCGAAAGTCTTCTCAAAATAATGGTATAATATTGCACTTAAAAACCAAAATAAAAACCACCTACTCTCCTTTAATGCCCCCAACAAATGCTGCTTCCTCAACCAGGCTTGATCTCTGCTTTTCCAATCATTGCCAGAATAAATAATTTCCCTCTCTGATCTCTCTCTACACATCCCCACATTCTGCCTTATGTTAGAGAAAACTGCTTGCATGTTCTTCTTCTCTTGTGAGGCAGAAGTTCCTTGAAGTCAAGGACTTTGCATGTTCCATGTTCACCCTCTTCCTGCCATGAATAGAGTTGTGAACATATCAAATGCTCAGTGCACTTTTATTCAGTGAGTGAATGATTGGGAGAATGAAGCTGGGGTTGTCTAGACATTTGTTTCACTAGCTCATAAGCTCACACAGGTAAGCACATGAATATGTGCACTAGACTTCCCACAGGTGGATGTCCTAGGGAAGACCTCTTGCTCAAATCCACTTTAAAGTTCTGCCTCCTTTTAAATGGCAGAACAGCATGATTAACCAAGCTGAAGTGAATGAAGTACAGGGTGCCAACAGCTGGAAAGACATTTTCCTTAGTTTGTCAGGGGAGGAAGAAGCTGAGTTTCAGAAGCCCAGAAAGGGAGTTCTTTTGGTTCCAGTGAAATATGCTTCTAGAACCTTTGGCTTATTTGAAGTCCTGGATCTCCCTGGAATAAGATGGCGGAGAGTTCACTGGTTCTGAATTGGCCACTGGGTTTGTCACATAGACGGTTTGAAAGACCACAGTTCTCTGAAAAAGACAGGTACGTGGAAGTGCGTTAGTCAGAACCACAATTGCGCAAAGGCTTTAGATATTCTGGGATTCCCCATGTGCCTGGGCAAGAAGGGGAAGCCTGAAAACTTCTCTAGTCCCCACACGCGTTAGAGCATCTTTCCACCAACTGAGGATCATACACACTCACATTGGTATGTAAATAGCTGAGCAGTTTGCAGTCAAAATGGGCAGATGTGCAGGCAATGCAGAACTCCAGGAGGCTAAAGACGAACAGCACGGCAGAAGAAACTATTCCAGAGCCCTGAAACCAGGAGGAACACGGATGTCATGAGGGCTGCCCGGGAGTGTGAGGTCTGGCTCAGAGCATGGCTCTGCAATGGACCATGGCTAGGGCTTTGAGAAAGACCTCTAACCTCATCTCAGCCTCATGGAGAAATGATCTCACCAGGATTTTGAGGGTCAAGTGTGTTTGTAAAAGAGTTATTTTAACACTTACTACCTGTTTTGTTCTAAGGAAAAGAATAGTCATTGTTTAGGGAAATACCTTGATGATTTGTTTTGGGTACAGGGCACGAAACCTAAGTATGGTATTTGGAGTTAAGGCAGTGAAACTGTTCTGTGTAGGAAGCAAAGAGAAATTTGGGAGTATGGACAGTCCTCAGAGAGCAAAGAGAGATGGATAGAGGAGAAAGACGTGACTGAGAAACATGAAGGGATGGTAGGGCCTACAGAAAAAAAGGCATCTTGTGAGAAATTAACACATTACAAAGCAGGGATGTCTAACCTCCAGGCATCAGTAGTTACCTCCACCATCCCTCTGAACCTTTAGAGAAAGTCAGCTACTAAAACAACCTTCCTGGCTTGTGACCATGGCATTTTGTGGAGAGAAATAATCGGGACTGTCTTTAAGTTAAGAAAACAGTCAATAAAAGGATCCCCAAATAGAACTAATTCAGCAGTAGTGGATTTCACGTGAGCACCAGGACACATCTAAGCCCTTCCCTTGTTCACCAACAATGTTCATAAAATGAGGTCTCTTACTGTATCTGGAGAGACAGTTTGGGTAGAATCCAAGGACAAGAGATGAATGATCCCAATAACATCTGGATTCCAATTACAAGAGGAAATATATATGGAAGAGAAAGTGCATGGCACATGGTAGGTATCAAACAAATGTTTGTCAATTATGATTTTAAAAATAGCATTGGTGATAGCTGGCTGCTCAGAGAATCCTCTCTCATGGAGAGACCCCTCTTTAGCACTTTTATCCTCTTCCCTCTTGATTTAGCAAGCACTTATTAAACATATGTTTGCTATGAAAGGCTAAGAAAGCATCCTGAGAGGCATATCTAGTGATGGATGAATATACAGATATAAATAGTTATAATTTAAATCAGACACGGTAAGAGCTATAAAAGAGCCAATAGTAGTGCCTCAGGGCACTGAGGAGAGACAGTTTCATTCTCAGTAGAAGATCCAGTGATGTGGGTTTGGACATGTGTTCAGGCAGGGGGAACAGCAGAATGGTGATGTCTGAGTAATGGAATCACAGAAGCTTAGGGTGGAGGGGCCTTTACAAATGATGCTGGTCCTTTTCAAATGTTTTTTTTTTTTAACAACATCCTATATAATAATAGAGTAATATGCTAAGTGTCCAACCAATCAGTTGACCGCTCGATGAGTCACTATGACCCTGGTTGGAGCACTGACCACCAGGGGGCAGAAACTCCAACCAGTAGGTTAGCTTGCTGCTGGGATCCAGCCAATCGGGACTGGGCGAGATGGCCAGATACTCCCTGGATCACTCCCACGGCCCCTCCCCATCCAGCTGGCCCCCATCAATCCCGATCAGGACAGGATGAAATGGCCCCGATCAGCCCGATCGCTGGCCAGGCCAAGGGACCCCACCTGTGCACGAATTCATGCACAGGGGCCTCTAGTTCTTTTATAAAGAAAGCTTTCTAATGGGAGGAGAGTTGGGAGGATGGGTGAAAAAAGTGAAAAGTATTAAGAATAACAAATAGGGAGGTATAAAAACAGTCACAGAGAGGTAAATTAGAGTACAGTATAGGGAATGTAGTTACCTCATCAAATATGTGTGTCTAATCATTACACTGTATACTTGAAACTAATATGGTATTGTTTTTCAACTGTAATTGAAAAATAAATTTAAAAAACACCCTTCTATGAGGGAGAAGGGTTCCTCTAGCAGTTTAGATAGTTATTATTTGGTGAGTATTAATTCATGCTTGTTGAGACCTTGGAGCACCCTTGGTTCATCTTTTGCTAAGCAATGTTGAAGTCCAGCCCTCCTTCTTCTGGACTGAAGCCAGAGGTGTGTGGGTGCACGAGATGGAAGAGATCTCTTTCCAAGACCAGGCACTGGCAGAACTGAGATTAGAAGTCAGGGGTATCCGGTTTGGCTCAGTGGATGGAGTGTCGGCCTATGGACTGAAGGGTCCCAGGTTCGATTCCGATCAAGGGCATGTACCTTCGTTGTGGGCACATCCCAGTTGGGGATGGGCAGGAGGCAGCTGATCAATGTTTCTCTCTCATCAATGTTTCTAACTCTCTATCCCTCTCCCTTCCTCTCTGTAAAAAAACCAATAAAATATATTTTAAAAAAAGAAGAAGAAGTAGTCAGGGGTGGTGGCTCCAGCCACTGTGGTGACTGAGAAACTGGTGAAAATGGCTGGATTCTAGATGCACTTTAAAGGTGAAATCAGCAGGTTTCCCTGTGGAGTTGGCTCAGAGGTGCTGGAGGCAGAGGCAGAGTGAGTTAATGATTTCACTGAGGTTTGTCCTGAGTGACTGGAAGGATGCAGTTGCCATCAACCTGGAAAGGCAACCTGAGAGAATTTGGGAAGTAAATATGGATAGGA